TGCTGCTGCTGCTGCTGCTAGCAACATCAAGCGCAGAAGCAGATGCGACGACAAACAGAACCAGAGTGTTCGACGGCAGATGCCGCCACGATGAGTCACAACATGCCAGCGGCTACCTGGGTTTAGTGCAGTTCGGTGTCCAAACCTCTGACCCAGGCAGTGGAGCTTCAGAGGCTTCAGGAGGCAGGTTCTGCTTGAGCTTTGAGATGTTAACATAGGAGCCGAAATTATTAGCAATACTATCTTGGGGGGTTCCTTACATCAGGGATCTCGGCTTCGAGGGCTCAGGGTGGCAGCGTCGCTATGTTGACTTCGACGCTCCGAGATTGGGGTTCGTAGTTGGAGGTCTCGGGATTCCGCAGCGCTTCAGAACTTGGGGATTCAGTGGTCCTGGGTGATGTCTAGATTCGGGTACCGGGTAAAAGGTTCAGATCTCGTCCCCACAGGGATATCGGCGGTGACCGTTTGAGCCGGATTCACCGTTCGGGGTGGTTTCAGACAGGGCAAGCCGAGGCTGTAGGGTTTAGGGTTTAGGGTTTAGGGTTTGGGGTTTGGGGTTTGGGGTTGAGGTTTGGGTTTTGTTCATTGAGCATGTCTGCTTGGCAACTAATTCGTCTAGGCCAGGCTTCAGAAATCTCTGAGGCCATCAGTTGCCCGAACTGTTCTTTGCTTTTGTAGCCCCTGCTTGGATCACTTGCGTGTTGAAGGGATGGGCGGATGTCAAACCCCATTCTAAGGCCAAGTATTCACGCCCCTGGACTAGGAGCTGCAACCTAAGCTGCGTCAGCCTTCAGCGCTCGCTTATGCGTGAGATCCGAGTGCAATCAAAGCTCAGGGTAGTGTGGGTTACCCAGCTTTGGCAGCAAACGCGGCTCTGCCTGTCACTGCCTACCAAAGTTGCAGAACAACTTTGGGACCCAGGCTCCCGCAGGCTCCGACTTTTGAGTTACCGTGTTCCACAACCACAATTGAGAATGATTGGTGTTTTCTCGAAACGAACCATGCCAGGTGACAGTGATGCAGGCCTTCAAGATTGCGGGCGCGCTGCTCCAGGCCGATATTTAGCTTGGTGTTGTTCCTGAGCGTATAGCTGCTGAAAGAAGTCATATCATATTCAATCTCATTCTTGATTGTCACGGTCAGTGACGTTTAAGCTGCATATACGACGATGGACAAGATCACCTCCCCTGGATCCGGTGCAGCCGATCCCGACTCTTCCCACCGCATCTCTGCAACTACTGGAAGGCTTTTTCTAGCCAACCCCTTCACGCTAAAATCCTGAAGGCACGAGACCCCAAACCCAGTTTGATAACTCAACCAAAGTGTGAATGCCACCCCCCGCTTTGAACGCAAAACCCTGTATCCCTTTTACCCAATACCCCACACCCTCAAGCCTAAGTTTCAACCCCAGACTCCACACCGCACTCCAAGCCCAACCCCAAACCTGAAACCCCCGAGACGCCAAACCCCCGGCCCTAAGCCCAAACCCCAAAACTCCTGATCTCCTCAACCCTGCTTGGAGGCCCTTTTGACTTAGTAAGTCTACTTAGACTTACTAAGTCAAAAGGGCCTCCAAGTGCTGAGGGCTCGACAACCGCCACCGCGGAGCCCGAAGCGGCCCAAGCTTCGCGAGTGGCAGAACACGCGTACGTGGCAGCCTAGGTAAAGCCAGGCGACTGGCACCATGCCTGCCGGCCCCTCGGTAGAAACCCTAAATGCGGGGGTTTTGTCTGGCACTTCCTTTCGACAAGGATTTGACCCCCAACCTTCACCTTGGACTTCTTGACAAGGGTTGCACCACCCAACCCTTCACGAGTCGGAGCAGGCTGGGCTGCACACCCTCAACCCTTTCACAAGTTGGAGCAGCCTACGCTCTTGACAAAGGTTGCACCCCCCGACCCTTCATGCCAGGGTTGCACCACCCAACGCTTCATGAGTTGGAGCTGCTGGCAACAAAATTCAAAGGGCCTTGGCTTTGGCCTCCGCAAGATGGAGCGGCCATTGGGGCTTTGGTGGCTTCCCCCTCAAGTTGGGGCTCCCAGACGCTTCAGAGCAGCTGGAGTTGGCCCCCGCTTGGCAGGGGTTGCACTCCCCCATAACCGCCGTACCAAAAGCCCACGGCTCGCCAGGACAGCCTTTCAGGAAAGCCTGTATGGAGTTCCCCTTCAGAAGGATGACAATCCAAGGTCCATAGTGGCCACAATTTCGGCCAGCATAGCCTCACGGAAAGCCCATAATGCATTGTTTCTTCCGGCACTTGCGAGGACAGCCTTACAGAAAACCTACATGGAGTGCGCCTTCAGAACAATCCAAGGTCCATAGTGGCCACAGTTCCCGCCGGCATAGCGCCCACCAGGACAGCCTTACAGAAAGCCCACATGCACTGAACCTTATACTTGTGCCTGCTTGTGACAACCGCCGCCAGCACAGCCTCACGGAAAGCAGACTGCCTTATCCGGTACGCGCGGGAAATCGAGAATCACAAAAGCAAGCACGCTGCTGTTTGTCTGCGCTTAGGGCGTACCTTCTGGCTGGATTCCTTCGGTTCTATCTCCGTTTACCAGCAGGCTACCATTCATTCTAAATTTCGGCCCTGCCAAGGCCCCGTTGAAGATAACGACCATCGTCGGCGATGGCAAAGCCCCAACTGCTGGGATCGTAAAAGACTTTCGAATTTAGAATTATATTCCAAAATGCTTGAACTCAAGGTGGTCTTGGGATGGGCTGTCTGCTACGCACAGGTGCGAGCGGCCTGCGTGGGCACACGCCGGCGAGCACCCATGACGTCACCATACCGTAAGCTCTAAACCCCAAATCCCAAAACCCTAGATCTCTCGGTAACTCCTGGAGGCTCGGAAGGCTGAGCATCAAGGCGCCCCGAAGTTGCAAATAGGGTTTACGGCCTGTTCAGGGTTTAAGGTTTATAGGGGGCGGAACAGATTTGGGGCAGTTATGTATAACTGTATAAGGGTATTTGAATTGTAAACCCAGAATGGGGTTTGCATACACTTCAAGGTCGAACAGGTGAGCTTATGAGTTCCATAATTCGAGAAGGTTTTTATTTGGGCTTTGTATGGCATCTATTTTCCTTGGTACGTGCTTCTCCCAATCAGGACTCTTCAAGTTTTTAGGGATCTGGGTTCCCGGTGCGGAGAATGTTAGAGTAACTTTTTTCATGATATTCAGCAGTCCGTTGGAGCAGGAAGCCTGCAAAGTTCAGTGAGGTGAGAAACGTTGCGGTTGTTCTGTAGGCAACGCTTCAGGTTGCATTGGCAGGCATGCGGCATGCTCTTACAAGCCCAAAGACCGCGACCTACCCGGTAGTAAAGGGTGACGACCATGATGTTCCTGACGGTATAATGTGGTGGTTCTCATTGTGATCATGATAACCGCCACCGCCCAAAAGCACGGCATGTCGGTGCAAACCTACAGAGGTGTCTCGCAAAGCTGCCTGTCACAGGGCTGAAAATGGTCGACTGGAATGTCTTCTTGGACTCCACGCAGACCATGCTCGGCCAGGCTAGCTGCAAGGATGTCCGTTCTCGAATCGGACTCTACCTGTACCATGGCGTCACACGTGACTCTGTCGCGAAAGTGTGGTCCGGATCCATTCCCCTGCTTGCCTCCTTCGCCGACCTTATCCTTCCAACATGTTTACCGTGCTGTCAGTTGGTGCACAGAACTGGAGCTCTCTAAAATAATCCCCGGCAGAGATACACCAAAGCAGTCATTTCCTGAAGGTGCAGAAGGTTCAGCAGCAGTGCTACCAAAAGATGAAGCTCAGTGATGCCTCTGCTTCTCGGACGCATGAACTTCACGGTGCGAGTTGATACCCAAGATTGTCGAAACAGAAGACCCAAGTACTACATCTCTACCTGCTGCTTCCGCTGTTGCATATATGGATTTGCACAGGCATGGTTTATGCTCACAAGCGCAGGTTGGCATAGATTCTGCACTGACCGTGCGATTTGCGAGGGGGCGGTAGACGTCCATGCGGGGCTGCGCGCCACCATGAACGCCCAGACGAAGAGCATCATCGAGGACAGCTTATAGGCTCAAGAACAAATTAAGATAGTTCGGTCCCCGGACGACGTTAGTGGATTTGTACTTGTGCTCGCAATTAGATGCAAGGGGGTGCTCGGCAGTGCCAGTGTTTGCCCCGTTGATGCGCATTCAGCGCATTCAGTTTGCTGCTGCGTGCGAGCCTGCAGCCAGCAAGCTGTTCAGGAGTTTCACCAGAAGTGCATGGTGCAAACGTGCTGCCGGCTACATTGCTGTCAGCGACACGTCCCGGAACCTGTCATCTCCTCGCCTTCGTGTATTTGCCCCGTCTACTTTTGTTTGGCTTATCTCCAGGCTGCATCGGACGGTGAAACTTGCCGTGAATGCGACCTGTGAGGTAAATTTGCGTGCTAAGTTTAGCTACGCAGACGAAGCTGCACGTTCCATGAACACTATGTACAAACCAAGAGCAGACGTGACGTGCATGTACCGCAGTAGCAGTACAGGGTCACTCTTTGGAATGCTGGCTCGTAACTCTCTAACATCAACAGCACTTGGCAATAGAACTCGTGGCAGAGGAAAGAATCGAACGTACAAGATGCCGTGACTTTCGAATTTCACCATACAGGTGAGTCGCACAACAAATGGGTTAGTTTTAGACTAATTAGAACATGAGCAACTGAAATGCCTCTGGTTTGCGTTTTCGTTTAAGATCCGATCAGCTCCGCTTTGCAGACATGGTGCTTCCCTGCACTCCTGAGTCCGAAGTTGAGTGCAAGCGATTCAGCTAACTTCCTCCGAGACCAGGCATGAAGTTCCTCCGTTTCTGCAATGACTTGAGCTGCAGTGCAGGGCTGCGAATATCCAGAGACTGTGAACCCAGAGACTCCAATACCCCTTAATTAAGGAATATACCTTAAATTATAGTAGGATCCCTAGTAAGATTTAAGGTATATTCCTTAAAGATTTAAGGTATATTCCTTATTTAAGGGGTATTGGAGTCTCTGGGAATGTGGATTTCCGTGCCTCGTTGCAGAGCCTGATGCCTGTTGGCATCGATCGGATGGTATTTGATTTCGCTGAGACCCGGAGCTAGGTCAAAAGCTCTCGCGCATTCTTCAAACAGACCTGGAACGCAAATGCAAAGCCTGAGATTTCTCCGATTTCTCCACCACTTTCTCAGGCTCCTCTCTGCAGGCAATCCCGCGCATCTTGCTGAGAAAACTTATTTTTCACATCATCCTGTATGAGCCCAGGACCCCAAACCCAACGCCCTAAACCCTGGACCAGGCTTCTTTGCCAGATTAATATAGGGGGCCTTAATAATTACCTATACTATTTTCGGGGTTCCTTATTATTATATGTTTATAGTATAATATACCCCGAAACCCTATTCTGATTATAAAGGCCTAAACAGTATGGCTTCCCTGGGCGCCAGGAAGCAGGTACTTGAGCAGGAGAGGTGGGAACGCACCGATGCGGTCGCCTCAGAAGTTAAGGGTTTTGAGGCGGATATGCTGCGGATCTGGGTAACTAACGACGGTTTAAGGTTTAGGGTTTAGGGGTTAAGGGTTTAAGGGTTTAGGGTCTGGGGTCTAGGGGTTTAGGGTTTAGGGCTTAACTAGAGGTCACAGTACGGAGGGCGATCGCCGTCGCTGCGAGAGCTGTACTTCCCAGAAACCATCCCAACACAACTTCATAACAATCATACTACGTGCCGACACTGCTTGTGATAGCAAGAGTGCGAAGAGCAAGCTTTACGACGAATAGATCGCCGGTGCTTCGAGCGTTTCGAAGGGAGTAGGAATAGTAACTTACGTGCTGGAATGGTTGGACAGTTCTCAGCTTCTACACCCAGCCCGACTCCTGGAACCCACGTAAGGTTTTACCTGTAGGTTTAAGGGTGTAAGGTTCTCTGACTAATTTTACCGTTTCCTGATAATCACTGATAACCCCATACACCGACAACCCTAAACCTAAGCACATACCGCATACGCCTCATTGTAGCCCCTCCGCCTATAACCCTACACCCTAAAGCCAGCCTTTTTAGGCCTGAACCGTGGAAGACCAGGTTCCTGTGCAGTACCGGCGAATCGTCAACCGCCTCCTTGGGGCTGACAGCCTGTGACTATTGCATGCTTTATCGGGGTTCCTGTGCACGGGTTACTATGGTTAGTCAAAGAGGTACTAGAAGGGGTACCGCGAGAGTTACCATGATAGTGGTAGTCGTGGTGGTGGTGGTGGTGGTGGTGGTGGTGGTGGCAGTAGTACTTTTCAGTAGCAGCAGCAATAGCAGTAGCAGTAGCAGCAGCAGAAGCAGCAGACATCGCCGGGCTAGAGCGGTTTTTCGGTCTACTCATTTTACTCGTGTACTTACGCTCGTCATGAGTTCCCGGGTACTTCCCGCTGTGTTGTTTCTTGGACATGATGACTGCTACTTCGCTTTATTGCTGTATTATATTCGAGCACATTGAACGCTGATGGCAAAGCCTCAAGTTGCCAGCTCATCGCCGGACTAGAGCGCTTATTCGTTTTACTGGTTTTACTGGTGTATCTACAACTGTCCCGAGTATTGTCATGACTGCTGTATACTGCTGTTCTTCACGCTGTGTTGTTTGCTTAGAGTTAGCCATAGGTATTTCAGGCACTCAGCGCATTATTGCATTTTCGAGCACATCGAATACGTCAACGCCAAAAGTTGCCAGGTCAGCACCGCAGGGTGATGGTAGCCCAGGGCTCAGCAATCTTGTCAGGTCTGAAGGCACAACCCTTTTTCGGTTGTTCGTCATTGCTGGCTGGAGGACCGGATGTATCTCTACAAAGCCCAGCGCCCTTGGCCCCTCGCGGGTAATTTGTTCAAAAGATATTGAACTAAGATCACCAACAAGCAGACCGCCCGCCTGAAGAACCGGGGTGTCAGAAGATGTCCGGGCTATTTATGTTGCTTTCGAGCCAAGGTCAAGCGGAGGAGGGTCTCACCCCGTTCGCATTGGCACGCTTATTTGCTAATTCTCGGCTGCTGATTATATGGCCAGGGATGAGTCAGGATATCGTCAGCAAGAACGAAAGCATCGCAGCACCAGCCTACTGGGCTTGCTACGTCTGAGTGTTCATGAGCGTGTTTGTCATACGAGTGCAAATGGCAGCATGATGTACTGTCTCTGCACAACTGCCAGCATGACAAGCCTGATTATTCTTTGTCTTTGCTTGTGTTACCAGTGCTTGTGGTATGCATCGCTACCACGCTGATACCATGATCTTGAAACCTCATGAGCATCAAGACGGGCGACGACGAAAGTACTGATGGTAGTCTCAGCGCTTCGTGGGCCGGTCGGCTATAGGTTGAAGCAGAAGAATCAGATGCTGGTGGCGCCCATCTTCGTTCCGTCATGACTGAAGGTCCACCCAAAAAGTCGAAGCAACGTACGCCCATTTGGAAGACTGATGCTCGCACAACACTGCCGTGGTATACGAGGGCCGCCATCCTAATTTCGACGTTGATGTGCGATGCCCATCCTGCATTTGGCAGGCAGTCGGCGGAGCGATACTTGCATGTGGAGGGCACCCATTTCTTGGTCGTCCCTGCTGTGCCCGTCTCAGAACCTTATAACTTATGTCTATTTGTCGATTTCGGATCCTCAGAAAGGCTTGACTTCTTCTCGGAGGCCTGAATGGACTCCGTTATACAATAGAGCCGATTAGCACCCGTTGTCGATTACGGACTTCGATCAGAAGTCGCGCCACAATCAGGTGGCGAACCGCTACATGGTTCCAAGCATTTCGTAGAAAGGACAATCTCAACCCTAGGCCGAAGGCGTACAGCCCCAGCCTGGTGAGGCTGTATGAAGGCTTTGTTGATGATTTCATGGAGTTTATGGTCTAAGGTACGGGGCTTAAGGAGGCCTTCATGGCAAGCCGAGAGTGGACTGGAGGTGTTGATCTAACAACGCAGGATTAGCACGATTGCTTGAGTTGCCAAGGTGCTAACCTTGGTTCAACTTCTCGGGGATTACGTGAGCCTCTGCTGGAAGCCCTGAAGGGACTGACTTGGGAAGTGTTCTTCAGATCGCCTGGCTTTTTCGGGCTTTGGGCCATGCAAGTGTTGTTTCTTTGCCTCAGACTGTCGGTGATCTGGCGTCTGTCCGATGCCAACCCCATGACTCCGCAAGCTCGAGCCACCCGAGGCCATGATTTCAGTGACATGATGGCAGAGATCGTGCAACACCCTCGGGCACTGTGCAGAGCATACAGGTGTGAAGGCAGAGGTAATGTCCCAGACCCTTGCGCTTGTGGTTCTTGCTGATGCTGTCATTAGTCTACATGCTTCCGTTGCTTAGGCCTAGGAAAGCAGCTAAGCACAACTCCCGCAATCATGTGTTTACAGCTCTCCCCCTCCTTCCTTCCTCCCTCCGTCCCTGCCTTCCCTCCCTCCCTACTTCCCTACTTGCTTCCTTTCGTCCTTCCTTCCTGCCTTCCTTCCTTAATTTCCTCCCCCACCTCGCTCGCTCTCGCTCTCGTTTGTTTTTCTGTTTTTTGTTTTCTCTCTCTCTCTCTCTCTCGCTCTCTCTCTCTCTCTCTCTGTCTCTCTCGCTCTCTCTCTCTCTCTCGCTCTCTGTCTGTCTCTCTCTCTCTCTCGCTCTCTCTCTCTCTCTCTCTCTTTCTCTGCCCGCTTCCTTTTGCGTTTTCCCGCTCTCTCCCAGCATTCTCCGCGTGGTGTCGCTCTGCTTCTATGACCCTTGTTTGCAGATGAGTCTGGCAAGGCAACGCATGTGCCAGCTCCTGCGGCTCTTCAACATGCGGGCACAATGCTTAGGACGCCGCGTGGCAGTGGGGTTCCTGTGAGCTATAGCTACACTTCCAGCGGCAACTGCAACAACAGCATAAACAGAGGCACGCTCCAATTCACAATGACGGCTGTGCTGGTCGCAACATCGAGCACACATCTTGACAACATGAGCACTGCAACGTAGTGGGCAGCGTGGCAACCCTGGTGATAATAAGGATACTGAATCGCGCAATCGTTCAACGTATCACGAGAAAGCATGATAGCAGTCATAGTCCTAGCCAATCAGCAAGAACACCAAAGTAAAGTTGTTTCTTCTCTCAGATAGTGACAATGGAATCGGCTGTTGTATAAACTAGTGAGGATGACCCGAGAATGTGCACCGTCTCAGACACAGCTTCCGTTGCTCAGCATTGTTCACTTTCAACATGAGAGGTCGAGAACAATGTAGAAAGCGTGGCAGGTGGGATTGTTTTTCTTTAGATGGTTCCGCCTGAGAGTCCTTCCAGATCATGTCACCTTGGAGAACCGAGTTGAGGTATGGTAAGCTTAGAGGAATGCCAGGGCAGGGGACTAGGATACAAGGATTCTTGTTGTGTTGGACCCGAGTGAATGGGCAGCGAATGTTCCGAAGGCTCTTTGACCCTACCCATGTTACTTAGGCTTTAGGATTTGCTGGCTGATCCTTCCGCTGTTTGCAGTGAACTGATTCGTCCGTTTTTTGTTTGCAGTTACCATCCCGGGGGCTGACCTCCATGACCTTGATTGCATAATCGGGTTTACGATTTGGGTGGTTCCGAAGATGGGGGACCCTAATATAGCACCCTAAATAATAGGATCCTGATTATAAGGACCCCCAAATAAGGTACCCCCTATTGTCGGAAATCCCCATTTAAGGAGTCTTGGCCGAGGCACAGAAGCTGGTCCTCAACGGCCAGGCTGTGCAGCACAAGGTGCAAACCGAGCTCTACTTCGATTTAGATATAACTCATTCTAAAAGAGAAAGCGGGGCCCTGAGCCTCATGATAAGAACCATCACTCTATGCCTTAGAACCTTCATTCCTGAACAAGCTTTAGCCAGGTGCTTCCGAAGATCACCGCGGCAAATCTGGCCCTTTGCAGCCAGTGTCCGGGATCCCAGGAGAAGTCATTCCGTCACCCTTGACCACTCTTGCTCCCGCCGATGGTGCCGGGACAAGCTTGTTATAAGACGGGGCATTTGAGAGTTGAGGGCTCCACAGAGTCTGCAATTGGCCTCGAATCATCAACCCTTGGCGTGGATGCAACGGCGTTGGGTTAGGAGATTTTGATGTGCGTGTGCGTGTGTGTGTGTGTGTGGGTGCGATGTGAAGTGGCTTCAGACGGTTCTTAGGGTTGAGCTCAAACACTTCAGGGCGATACCATGAGACGAGTCTAAGCGTTGGACGAAATGCAAACGGGATGTGCCCATACCGAACTTGTACGCACAAATCTCACTGTACTGTACAACAAGATGCCATTATAAAGATGCTATAGTATAGCTAAGTATGGTTGAGTTAAACAGTACGCCTCTGGAGCTTTGCCTGCAGGCAAGAATACCCGAAACCCCTACGAAGCTGAAACCGAATGTTATGTATAGATCAGGTTATGTACTTGCATCGCAGTCTATTATGTGTGCATACGTGCATATATATATATAGAGAGAGAGAGAGAGTTGGGTTCATTACAATGCTTGAAGATGCAGTAACGAACTTTTAGTATATAACGCAGCCTGAGAGAGAAAGCTTGAGCTGTCAAGTCGAGGCTGCGCCGTGGTGATGCAACTGCTTCCGCCCGGTCTCGCGCGTTTAGACGTCGCTGAGTATCTTAGGGCTTGTAGGGTGGAGTTTGGACGTAGTATACCCGGTTGGGCTTGGATTCGGGTTGAGTATAGAAGCTACTAGTTACTTGTCCTAAGACGAAGCCCCTTTTCAGGTTAAGGCCTGACCATCCATTTTTCGATTGGCTTTGGGCAGATAGCCCTTGCACGACTCCTGTCTTTGTTGCCACAGTCCTGGGATTTGCCACCACCGGTTCAAGTCGCTGAAACTCAGTTCTCCCAGCACCTCCATAGCCCTAATCCCGAAACCCTGAGAGAAGGATCGCGCCTCCAAGCTTGCACTGAGCAGGCCTTCACCGAGCCGAACACTAGATGTTGTAGGGAAAGAGGGGACACCAAACCCTCGAGCCTAAATTCCTGTCCTCCAAACTTCCCAAGACCCCTGCACCCGAAATGCCCTGAAATCCCCAAACCCTACACTCTCCTGAAAACCCTCCCTTTGCCAGGTTGCTCCAAACCCGACTCAATGAGATCTCTCGCAGCGCCCACGGCGAGGCGCGCGGAGCCATGGTGCCCGCCCCAGCAGCAGTAGTCAACTTGACCTTACTTATGTCACCAGGACATAAGTAAACGTGCAGATAGTAGAACTCGCGATATCTCGCGATGGTAACAATGCCCAGTCACATTGCTACCAATGATACCTAATGATACCTGTAAGGGATTAGGGGGGTCCTGCAGCCGGGGACCTGCCTTGGATCAAGTCTGTTGGTGCAGTCCAGGTGTAATGCCAGCGTAGACGGCAATCAACTTGACTCAAGGCTTTTGGTCGCACAAAGGCCCACCACCTCAACGCCTTCAGCTGCTCCTCATACAAACGCCGGCAAACCCGATGTGTTTGTTTTCACACCATTCAAAGGTCGCGGCGTTGCTCAGTGACCTCTCCAAGATAGTCACCGTCGGGGCCCTGCTTCTGCTGACCAGGTATGACTCATGACAAGGCTATTTGTCCGTGATGGTGCTCCTAAGATACCCAAGTACTGTACGGCGGTGCATATCAGTTCTTCGAGGATAAGTCTGAGTTAGATGTAAGCTGCCAGCCAAATTTAGCAGAGTTTAAGCTCGTCCAAGCTGTGGAAGCGGTACAATGTAGCAGCATGAGTGACACACCCCAACCCTAAACCTCAAAGATCGTGCTCATGACGCCGCACGCCCCAGCTCCTTCGCGACCCCCAAGGCTCGCAGAAACCCACTCCCAAAGCTCTACAACCCCGAACCCCGAAGCCCTCGAGCTGTGATCTTACAGGTTTCAGGTTTTGGGGCTGAGGTTAAACCCTAAACTGATATCAGGAGTACACCGAGCATCGGACGGCACTCTTCGGGAAGCTCAGCGTCCTGCACTCGGCTGTTGCAGAAGCTCCATTAGCTCCATGCAGGGACGAACAGACCCATTCCCGAGTCATAACGAGCAGGTTCATGCTCGTTTGGTTGAAAAACCTCAAACGACTGGTTGATTTACCTGTGCCGCTGCACCCCCGCCCACCCCCCACCGAGCTAACCATCCCGACAAGTTGACTCTTGAATCAGTTTCCCTATTCTGAGTCATGCCCGCGCAACTGCTGTGACTGCCGGTTGTAGGTGGCCAAACGACCACATGCCCAAGCATGGCTACAATATCCGTTGGGCTAAGCATGACTTCAACACAGCTCAGTGGGTCTGTTTTTTGGACCCCGTAGGCTGCCTGGTCTCTCGTGGATGATGTGGGTACTGCTCGCTGCTGGAATCCCTGGAAGCTTGTTGTCTCTCCTATGATGTTCCGAAACGATCATTGAATTTCGAGGCTCAGGGAGCTTGGTGCTATTGGGATTTAGGGTCTCAGTTGTTGAAGTTCGAGGCTCAGGGAGCTTGGTGCTATTGGGATTTAGGGTCTCAGTTGTCCGAGACGCCCAGGATCTTCTCAAAAATGCCTACGAGAACCATGCCAAGAGGTGGCTCGGCGCAGGGGCCTCGGCTCTCAAAGAACTCCTTCATGGGTAGTTCTCTAAATTAGGGTCCCTTTTTAGGTCCCCATTATAGTACGGCGCCCTCATAAGAAGGACCCTAAACGGGACCCTAATTTAGAGAAGTGCCTTCATGTCCTCGAAGGATTTTGGGGCCTAGGCAGAAACAGGTAGCGCCAACACTTTAAACTGGATGTATAAGCACGTTTACCACCTGTACGTCGATTCAGTTGTAGGTTGGAGTCTGAGCAACTACTAGCACCGGCCATTTTTGGCTCTATGCTGTTTTACTAACACCCATTTTTTCACGCTGTCCCGCTTTGTCACGCCCTGCTGTTTACGCTTCAGGCCTATGATTTTGGTAGCAGGTCCTTTGGCTCTCAGGTTCCGGATCTGCTGCCCAATCGGAATAGAACTCACATTGCCTCCCTGATCCTTCCTGGAATCAGGCGAACACCCCCTGACCCGACTTGACGTTGCGAGGGGGGGGGGGGGGGGGGGGCGACCTCGTTTTTGTTGGAGGCAGGCCCTGGAGCACGGTCAGAAGAATGGATGCTGCCCGAGGCACCCCATGGCCGGCAAGGCGATCCGAGCCTTTTTCAGGTGCGGGGCAGTGCGGTGAGTATGCACGCAGAACACATGCTTGCGTACATGTGTATGCATATCATATGCATGTGTATGCATGTATGTCTGTATGTCTCCAGGTATGTTGCATACGTATGTATGTCTATCTGTTTTTACGCACAGCTACGTCTGTATATACAGATGTTGTGCAGAAATGCGTTTTAGGACAAGAAAAACCATTAATATACGTATAGAATGATAGTTAGATAGATCGATAGGTGCATGGACAGATAGATAGGTAGATGGCTCGATGGGCAGATAGATAAATCGATAGACTGATACATATGTGCTGCTCGACTGCGTGTATCAACTGATTCCATTCACCTGGAACTCGTGGTTTCTGGCTTGCTACGTGCAGCATCTTGCAGCATAGCCTTAATAATGATTTCCCTTCACCAAAAAACGCCTGGCATCGAAATCCAGGGGGTGTGGGTCCTCTTTTGCGGGCATTCCACAAGGTAAGGAAGGCCAACAAGCACGGATTATGGATTTGGAGCTTAAAGACCCTGGGGCCCAATGCAGTGTATTATAGTGTAATATAGGATAACAGAGTATAGTATGTTTTCTTTCAGTACGTTGTAGTGCTTCATACTATCTCATCTTTAGATTACAATACGTTATCATTATCATTGTATGATATACTAGTGTATTGTCTTGTTGGCCAAGCATGGCCCGAAATGCAGGTGACATTCAGCGGGCATACTTGCTTGAATGCTGCCTCAAGCCATGTCGTAGAAGCAGCTGTAAATCTCACATGCCTGCTACACTACACATCCCAGCAGCTTCATGACTGGTCTTTGCCATAGTTTATTGTTCCTGAAATCTCGGCAATGTCGTTGGCATTGTCGCTCTGGCCGTTGATTCTGAGATTCCTCCTAAACCCACGAAATCCTCATATGAAGCCTGGCTCTCTTTAAACCTGAATCCGCTCGAACCTTGGTCGAATCTTGTAAAGCTACCGCACATCCCTGTGAATCATCACGGCCTTCATGAGTCCTGTCTGGAACACACGACGCCCTTCGTGGAACGCTCCGGGACACCATGAAACACCTTTGGACCCCTCCTGCGAAACAAGTAACCCCAAGCCATACAATTCCAATCCTCGAAATGCTAGATCCTAGATAACAATAGTACTTATAGTAGTAATAATAATAGCCATAATAGCAACAATAGTAATAATTACAATAATAACAATAATAGCCCCCAAGTTCCCCCAAAGTACGGCTGTTCTAGCTCGGGGGGTGAGGACTTTCCCTAACCCTCCAGGTACCTACTATATAGGGCCCTAGGGCCCTAGGGGCTCTAGCACCGTCTATAGTAGGCACCTGGAGGGTTAGGGTTTGTTCCTTGAGTTTGCTGGGGGACAGGGCGAGGATGCCGTCGCGAGGCTGCAAAAGAGCGAGCCGAGGCCTCGGCTTTGGGGATTTAGGGCTTTCTAGGGGTTTAGAGGGTTTAGGGGTTTATCGGTGTTTTCGGGTAGAATCATGGTTTAGGGCCTCCGTGGTTGTGGACACATGATTCACCCAGTCGACGGGTTCAGGGATGGGGATGGGAGGGTTTGCGGTTCAGCGGGTTTGAAGCAGCCGCCGTCGCAGTCATGGCACTCAGGATTGTGGTAGTTTTCTGTTTGCTACACTCAGCAAGTTAAACGTGTCTGCAATAGTTCACGAATGCACAGTTTGATGTCGGGTCCTTTTCGAGCATGTTTTTGTCAGTACCGCAAGAAGGAGCACTGACACAGGGGCATGAATGCGAATACTAGTGGTGTGTTCAAAACATAACAGAAGCGGTATCAGCAACAGCAAAAAGATCCATACTGTTGATAAGCCTAGCAGCAATGGTGCCGGTAGGACCTATCTCAGTGCCTCCAGCTGAGCTCCGCGCAGAAACTCAGGTCCATTGCGAATGGCCATGAAGCTCTGGAAGGTCTCGTGAAGGAAGGCTGCACGTTCTCAATGACGGTCTTTCCTCCGGGAAGTGGGGTGTCATTTGTATTGAAACAGGCACCTTGTTAAACAAGATGTGTGATTCTGTATTGGAACACACTGCCGTTGAATCGACATGAAGACATCCCGAATTTGACAGCGTGCTGGTTCGAGGTGCCAGCAACTTCATCAGAAGTGCAAAGACGTTCAGGGCTTAAATTCAGATTGGAGTTCAGGGTTTTGCGCCCAGGGCGAGGGTGGACTACAGCAGAATCAATGCTTAGGGTTTGATGAACGATGAACGTTGTTTGCGGGACTACTTGACGGCAGATTCCAATATATAAAACAATATATTATCTAATAGACCAGATATACCCCTCAAGCCTATACAAGTCACTACTGTAAGTCCCCTATAATATTGAGCCGTCCAGACTCTCACCAAGTCTCTCCTCCGCTCCCTGTCCTTTAAGACTGATACCCAGATAACTTAGAGATGACTGCGTTCGCAGGCATCGGTTTATCCTAATTTGCCACCTCTCCAAACCCTATAGATCCTAAGTCAAACATAGGCAACTGTATACTTTAGTAGCGGCCTCAGAGCGATTGCGGAAGGACGTCACCGCCATGTACCGCGTCTTACTGCGGAATCTCAACTACGACAGCGTGAGGCTCCAAAGTCTGAATGAGGAAGATTGTGCATTTTTAGGTTTCGGGTGTGGGGTACATAGCGCAGCCCGTTGTTGGTTAGAATCAGAGAGTGAGGAGGCGAAACTTCGGCAATTCGGATGCAGAGTGGCCGTCCTCGTTCGTGTATGCATGCACGCATCCAGGCATCTGACAGATCTCCGTGCACTTTCTGCAGTGATGGACCATTTCGTCCTGCGCTTTGAGTGCCCGGTCAGACAGTGGCCATAGCACGTGACGCAGGTACCCTAAAGCCTGCTACCCAGAGAACCCAATACCCCTTAATTAAGGAATATACCTTAGATCTTAATATTAAGGCCCCTACAATTCAAGGTATATTCCTTAATTAAGGGGTATTGGGTTCTCTGGGTACTCAGCCCTCTCCGTCCAAAAACTCGTCGGGAACGTAGAAATGCCCACTGCGACTGCAGGCGGATCTTTGCACGCGCCTTCGAGGACATCGCCTCCGTGTTTCAGCAGAGGCTGACATGGCTGCACCATGTGGGGGTTTCCAAAAATGAGGGACCCTAATATAGTACCCTAAATAATAGGATCCTTAATATAAGGACCCCCAAATAAGGTACCCCTAATTTTCGGAAACTCCCATGTTGGGTGTTGTGGGGATTTATATGCATGCTGTGCTCGGGAATCACTGGTTGAGGCGACCGGACGACAGGTAGTGCAAAAGTGGAATCGAGCAGACGATGTTCATGGTTAGCTGTCGTAGGGCCGTCGAAGTCAACCTCATGCCTTCTTCACCTGGTCCCGGCTGTACTTGTTTTTGCATCACTCCGGTCCTTTCACCCGGACCTGTCAGGTTAGACCAAGACATTGCGGCCCCTTCGACGAACTACTCCGACGGCCTCTGGCCCAGCCGCGGGAAGAAGTGCTCTCATTTGCTCCAACCTATCGACCTATGCGTGCTATTGATGTTGTGTAGTACAGTTTTGTACAGTACATACATTATCATACCGTGCTCACAATGCAGAGGGTAGGGCTGTAGGTCTCAAGGCTCTACCCCAAGTCTTCGCTGAGGTGTTGGCTGCTCGCTTGGCGACCGGCTGCTGCTAGTTGCGTCCTTAGGTGGATGTAGGATCCAGTAACTTCGGCACTGGGTAGGGTAGGGTGGAGGGCCCTAAACCCGAAACCGTAAACCCTATAAGCCCTAAACCCTAAACCCTAAACCCTATAAGCCCTAAACCCTAAACCCTATAAGCCCTAAACCCTAAACCCTATACCATAGTCCGCAAGACTCTAAAGTCCGAGGTCCCATCTTGACTAAATCCTTCAGGCAGCTGCGGAGCTTCATCGGTGTCGGTTCGCTTGGGCTGGAGCTTCGGAATGTGCTTTCTGCTCGGGAAGCCTCGGCGAATCTGAGAACGCATACGATCTTGCTGAAGTCTTATTTAAAACAGAGTTTACTAGTATGATTCAATTTATGGTTGTTATTTTGATGACGACCACGATTATGATTATTCAAATCAAATGGCTATGGCTATGACTATTTCTGTTCTTACTACTTCTTGGAGGTCGCCACACCTCGAAACCTGGGCCTCGCTGGGTTCTTGTTAAGGAGCCTTAGTTTAAGCTACCATGCTAGGGTTTAGGGTTTAGGGTTTAGCTACCATGCTAGGGTTTAGGGTTTAGGGTTTAGGGTTCTGTACTGAATAATATGGTTCCCTTAAGATGATAACTCAAAATGCATTCGTTGACAAGAACCCAGCCTCTCATCAGGACTTTGCCTACCTCTACACAGAGCTGGAGAAGCTCACAGGCACGATCTCCTCACAGTAGCAACTCCGTGATTCGAAAGATTCACTTGTAGGGCATCGTGCACCTGTAGCATATCATACTTGTAAAGAATACTTACCAACATGTTTGGGTTGCTGTAACACCCGGACCCTCCCCCACCACCCCCCATGTTCTGAGTGTTTGCTGCTTTTCGGTGCGTTGTAGACAGCATTTCGGGCCCAGTACGGTTTAGGGTTTAGGGTTTGCTGGGGCCCGATGTGGAAGCGAGCGCTCAAACGAGGCCTTCTTGAGTCCGCGACAGTCTTAGCATTTTTTGGCTGGCTTCTGTAGGGTAGCCTTTTCCGGTTGATGCGCAGCTGCCTCGGCTAACTACTTAAAGGCAGGTCTTCTTCACTCCTGAAATAACAACAGACTGGCACACTCGGCCTCTGCAGCATGTCGGAAACCCGTATCCCGCGCCTGCATTTCTTGAGGGGAGAAACTCTCAACTCATTCTAGAGCAACAAATCTAACGAACCCGGTCGCTGGAAGAATGCCCGCCAGACTGGTGTGTGTTCATTCTGCAGGATTGTTAGGGGATACGTAAGTGTTAGAATCGCGAAAGTAGCAACCCTAACAGTTTGACATCAGCCTAGCATGATTATACCTTACCCATGCTGCTTCTGGAAAATTGTAGGTGCTGTTCTGCTAAGTTGAAGTGGAAGAGACTGTCGACCGAAAAAGCTCGATTTGCAGGTATCACCACGCCGCTCGAGCGGCTTGTGTGCGATTTGGCCTACTCCTAAGGTCACCGGATATTGAGAAACCCTAAATCCTAAACCCTAACACTAAACCTTGAGTATGGAATGTAGGCATCTCAACAATGTGGCGCACCGCCTTGGGGTCCCACGGCTCAGTAAAGCTGTTTGTGTGTTGGATTCAAGCATCATGCTGAGAAGCGGGTAAGGTGTTTTGGCACTAATCCCTAAACCCTTAGACCCTAAACCCTAAAGCCCTAAAACCCTAAACCCTAAGCTTCCTTTTGGCGTGAAACCGGCGCCTGCTTTAGTGGTAATTACTGCAGGCTTGCCGAATTGTTCGAAAGCTATATAAACAGACTTGTCGCTGTGGCCACTGCCAACTGCGAGCACCGGCACTCGTCTTCTTCGTAGTCTCTTAGACTCCGGAGAAAAAGCCCTGAGCTTCGTCGGCTCAGCAAGCGCCAGCATAATAGGCTCGAAGTGGGGCTCGGAGCTTCACCCAGGTCCAGCATCTTCTGACAAAGCTTCCGGAGGATGCGCCGGGAGACCCAATTCTGCAGTGCCTACCCTACAGTTGAGCGTTTGCAGGAGTGTGTCGAAATGCAGGAGTTTGTCTTTGCAACACCCAGGAAGCAGACCCTAAACCCTAAACTCGCTAAGCCCTAGCTAAACTCAAAAACCCTAAACCCAAAAACCCTAAACCCAAAAACACCTTAAACTCGCTAAGCCCTAACGACCTAAGTCCTGAAGCCTGAACCTGCTCATAGCATGGATGCTCGAAGCCTCTCGGACTTTAAGGTTGAGAAGACCACATCCGATAGTGCTCGAGGCAGCCGCGCTTGCAAGAGAAGCTTCAGGATTTTTGTTAACAAGTGTTTAAGGGTTAAGGGTTTAGGGGTTCAGGGTTTACGGGTTTAGGGGTTTTGGGGTTTAGGGTTTAGGATTTAGGGCAGGGTTTGGCATGTCGAGATGTGTTGAGGGACTCCGGGTTTGAAGCGAAGTTCGGCCTACTCTTGATGTTTATAGATCTCGAAGCCTAGCAGGGTTTACATGCACGCATGCTAGTGCTGCCGAGCTAGTATGATCTTGCAGGATACTATAGTGGTTAAAGAAGGATAAGCCCCTATAAGTCTATTCTGCCGATAGAGAATCCTCTCCTCCCCACAAACTACCCCCTCCCACAACCGAGAAAATTGTTCAAATCACGGGCCGTAGAATCTTCGCGTAGGCCAAGCAAAGAGCCTGCGCAGGTTCTTCGGAGCTCCGGGCGTCTGCCGAGATAGCCGAAAAGCATCGGTTTCGGGTGTTTGTTATTTGCGTTTCCCTAAGGGTCCATGTACCCAAATAGTAGAACATTGGCCCTAAAGTACCCATATAGGGACTACATTAAGGCCAATGTTCTACTATTTGGGTACATGGACCCTTAGGGTTTAGGGCGTGTGGGAAACGTTTGGATGCCCAGCTGTAGAATCAAGGGGCTTGGAAGGGTTCCTTCAGGAGCGTCTCTTTAGGGCTGTGGAAGCAAATGCCTTAATGACAGGTTGCGGCAAGCAGGGCTTTCAGGCTTTAAGCGTCTTTTGAGGTACCCTAACCCCCCAGGTACCTACCATGTAGGGTACTAGAGCCCCTAGGGCCCTATATTATAGGTACCTGGGGGGTTAGGGGTAAAAGGCAGACAGATACGAAGTCAAACGCTATTTTTGCGTACGCCGCTTTCAGTTTCCGCGAGGTTGTTTGTCCTCTGTTGAGCGGTTCCTTCAGCGAGGTTCTGGCTGGAAAGATATGAATGTTTCGCTGCGCATCATGAGTACAAGCTACGACGAAGCTTCTGCAAAGACTATTATAGAGTTCCACATGTCTTGGAAACAGCCTTACAAGTCTGGCATAGTTCAAATTCACATCAAAACGCCAAACTAATTGACGCAGTCCGTCTTTTCGCACGCTCAAATCGTGATGACCCGGTCGAAATCCGCTGCCCCCTTCTGTTTTTGTTCGTGCGCTTTCACGGGTTGAAGTAGACTGCTCGGCAGATCAGATGTGAGGCAAATGCAGCTGTCTTTGCTGTTGCTGATGCGTGCTCAAGACTTAGACGACGCAGCACACTGATAGACCACGACGCACCGAATAATGTGCTACGAAATCCCGGCGAGGAGCTACCGGATAAAACAGATGCCCACCCTTAGCCCACCCACCCAACGCACTCCAACCCCAGCCTTTGCAGCTGGCCTTTGCTCCCAAGCCCGTGGTGCCTTCGCCGTTCATGCCATGCTCCAGCCCCAATCGAAGAGCCCCAAGCAGATCGAGAATGAGGAGCGTGTCCAAGCACGCGAGGCCCGTTACGTGGAACGACTTGCGGTAGTTCATCAGCAGAAGATCAGGCTAGGGGCCACGAGAATGCGATTTCCTCGAAGCCTGAGCTCGAAAGCCTTATCCCTGAACCCCTTAAACTCCACTTGGACGGAGTTTTTATGCTCAGCAGGCTATGCGGTGTACCCCACACCCTTCTTTGTGGCAGTATTCAGGGTGTCGGCCTCACCCGTCCCCGAAGCGCTTATGTACATTTGTGTGGTTTCTGGGGCCCCTGACAAACAAGTTTTACAAAATACCTTCATGTTATTAACTAGTAGAGTATTATAGTCTAGTATGGTACACTAACCCTAACCCCCCAGGTACCTACTATATAGGGTACTAGAGCCCCCTATACGGCCCTATATAGTAGGTACCTGGGGGGTTAGGGTAATATGCACTACCCATAGGCCCCATAGTAGTTCCTTTCGGGGGCTCATATTCAGAATCCTATTAGGTAATCCCAAAATGGAACCACTATGGGGCCTTTGGGTACTACCAAATTCTGCTTACAATGTGCATGAGGCGCTGCAGCAGCGGACCAAGGAGTTAGCGAGGAAGCGGGCGGTGAGCGAAGGGCTGAGTTCACTGTTGGCGGGGGGGGGGGTTAGGGTTTAGGGTTTAGGGTTCAGTGGGGGGTTGAGGTTTTGCCCTAAAGCTCTGAAGGATCCCTGCCATGGAGGCCTTTTTAGAAGGGGGCTGGGAGCCGGGGTAAGGGCTTTCGACAGGTCAGAATTATGTGTTTTTCTTAAGACGGGTTCAGGGTTTGGATGCACAGGGCCTGTAGGGCAACAGCTTGCTATTGCACCTACCCGCTTGATCGAAAAAGTTTTTTGCAGGTCACATTGCAGCACAATGGGCGGCTTTCGAAGCTGTGGGGATTAGTGCTTGGGATCTCGGCCTCTGACACCAGTTGGCTTGCAGAACTACGTAATGGCCACAACCTGGCTACTTCTCCCCGAGCGATAGGGCATATGTCGCAGCGAAGGTAGTCTGCTTAGGCTGAAGCATGCCCTTGCATTTCACTAAATGCCTGCATGCAGGTATACAGAGGGACATGCCTGCATGCGCACATGCTCACATGCTTGCTTACTTACTTACTTACTTACTTACTTACTTACTTACTTACTTACTTACTTACTTGCCATGCATGCAAATAGTACATACCTACATGACAGACAGCATTACAAACACTTGTGCCATTCCTCCGGCAAGCAACATAGTTTTGTAATTGGAACGTTGTGCTGCTTGTGATTTCCTCAGGAAAAATTCGAGGCTGATCCTCGACCCCAAGCCCCAAAGCTTTGAAGCACCTGTTGCTGAAGGCCAATTCCGAGAACTACTCCGACATCGATATGGGAGTGTGGGACGCTTAATGGCTGCGGTTTAGGGTTTAGGGTTTAGGGTTAGGCTGTATACTATGATATACGATAGTATACTCTAGTACACTGCAATAGACCGTAGTGTAATACGATCATATACCATCATATAATTCATATACTATAGCGTATGCCATAGCAATCCCTTCGCCCTAATTTTAAACCTGGGGTTCGGCCCTCCCCCAATTAAAAACTACGTGTTATTAGGGGACATGTTTAACTCTACTGTCAGGCTGGGTAGGATCTTGCTCCTGCTCTTGCTCTTGCTCCTGTCGGGTCTCTTGCTCCTGCTGCGGACCAAGTTTTTGTTATTAGAGGGGTGTTTAATAAAATGGGGAAGGCATTAGACCTTACACTTTGAGCATGCCCCAAACCTGAAGCCTTGAACCCAATGTTGAAGACATGGCACAGACCCGGACTGCCGAGACTACACACGAGCAACTATTCTTGCAGCAATCAACCACAGGAAATGAGGTGATCTTTACGGCTGAGGGCCAACGACCTTCCAGCACTTGGCACTGCTTCACCTGCAGTCGCAACTCCACTGCCGGATCGCGAAAGAGACCTTTGATTCCAACACTTCGCTTCCAGTCCCGACAGCCTGAACATGTATCAGTGCTCCTTGGGTTTTTTCAAAGTAGGCCCTAACCCCTCAGGTACCTACTATGTAGGGTACTAGAGCCCCTAGGGCCCTATATAGTAGGTACGTGGGGGGTTGGGAGGAGCATGGACTCCTGCAGGCCCGAAACCGGCACCATGTTCGGCCCTGCCAGGTCGTGGCTGGCTGGCGCCAGGCATTGGACATTGCCTGCAGCCCAGAACAACACGATCAGAGCTTACAGGGTTTTGGGTGGTTTCTAGGACGGTTTATGGGCTTAGCACTCCTAGCTGTCACAGCTTACAGGGGCTTCGATTCCGTAGCTATCATCTATAGTAGCCCTAGACTATAGGAGGATTGGCGTTCTCCAGGCCGGCTTCGGGTGCGGAGGGGTCGGGGCGAAAGCGCGTGCCGGGCAGGCCTTTTTGTGCCCACCTGCCCAAAGCCAAACCCTGCAGGAGCCTTTCTAAAAGCCGTAAGAGCAAGATTCCCAAGCCGGATGCTGCCAGGCTTAGATCCCCAAAGATGGAAGGCCCACGACAGCCAAACGAAAGAAGTAGCTGCTTCTGTCCTTCAGCTCTGAGACATGAGAAAGCCAGAAGCCTTCAAGTCCCATGGCTTCCCAAGTTTGAGAGCTCAGAGGGGGCATAAACGGGCTGAGAACGAGCTGACAGGCTTGATACACAAACTGAGACCCTAAAACCCTAAACTCTAAACACAGACGCCTACTTGAGGCTCAGAATGCGGCCTTGAGGGCTTAGGAGTTTGCAAACCCGACAACTTCTGAGCCGCCGAGTCCCGAAGCCCCAAGCCACCGGCAGCAAAAGCTGGAAGGATGGCGAGGGTGAGGTGACCTGGGAAGCCTTTGAAGTGCCTTCGGTCGAATTTGGGAGCTTCCGAAAATTAGGGGTACCTTGTTTTGGGGTCCTTATAATAAGGATCCTATCATTTGGGGTACTACATTAGGGTCCCCATTTTCGGAAACCCCCATTTGGGTTCCGGAAGATGTCGGGCTGGTGTTTCGTCTCAATGAGTTTTAGGGTTTAGGGTTTAGGGTTTAGGGTTTAGGGGGTTTGAGGTTTCAGGACAGTGACTACGGTGGTTGACTTGCTGTCGAGTGTTAGGCTGGCCGTAGGGAAACACACCAAAGTAAATGCTGGGACGAGACTGGTCATGGAGCATGAGCGACTTGGTTGCTTTGTGAGCGTTTGCCCAGTGCCGTAGCCACTTGTGGAAATGGGCCTGGGCGCGGACTCGATGTTTTACGTCGCCAGTGGTTGAGGTTTGTCTAGTGGCTTCTGAAAAGCAGCCAAACACAGGAAGCACAATTTTGTGAAGGCCTTATTTAACCTGTCGAATTTATGCGAATGGCCCCGAAACCGAGCGATACTTACTTACTGAGAGTGTGTGCATAAGCATCCAGGACCACCATACCTAGTGGGCCGAAGTCCCCTCTCCGTATCCTACAAGTACTGTTCGAGATACTGAAAGTCCCGACCCTCGGCCTGCAACTCCCAAAGTTTGGCCCACAACCTCGGTTCTGAGGATGCTGCCAAGACTTTGCAGTTCACAGGCGATAAGGATGGCCTGTGGGAGGACCTTGCCATGACCTATGAGGTGTAGAGAATCCTCAGCAACCCCTGGAGGCATGAAATCTCGAGTTCAGGGTCTTGCGTGCAGGGCTCAGTGGGCTGTACATCCTTCACTTCCATCAGGATTGTGCATGGGCTTGAGCCTTAAGCCCACCATTGCAAAGATCCAAAACCTCGCAGAAAGCTCTACTCAGCTCACTGTACTGCGAAATCCTCCGCAAAGGCGATACAAAACTCCATGCAGGCCCTGCAAAGTTCCAATCCAGCCTTCATACCGCATCAGAAAAAACTTTTAACCTTAAAGCCTACACCCCAAGAGCCTTACCAAACCTCTGAAAGGCCCTCAAGACGCTAAATCCCCATTGAAG